AGTGTTCAGATGGTTTTGTTTCTACTCGTCACCGTGGAAAGGAATACTGTCAAAACTTTTTTTACGTGTGTGTTTTAGTGCCCAGGCCCTTTTCGAACAGTGTGACGAGGCGCTGTTCGTGGGGGGTGTCGGCGTTGAGGTGTGCGAGCTTTGCAAGTTTGCGGTGGTGCCAGCGGAAGGCACTCCGCTGAGACGGGCACTGAGCAAGTCCCTGTTTCGGAGCAGCTACGCCCATGGCACGCTGCTCAAGGCAACTTGTTGGTCAGAGCGCTACAGCTCGCTTCCCAGAACCAACTTCGAGCAGATTTGCGCCAATGGCAAATGGCTCGACCGAGATGGGGCCGACGGCTTGAGCCAGTTCTCATGCATCGCCCTTGTCCAGGTCGTTAGCAGCTACTACCAGGACCTCGACTCGCGCAACTGGCAGGAGCTCTACGGTTCGAATGGCATCCAGCACATACTACTTACGACGAGTTGGCTCCCAGAAGCCCAAACAAACAATAATGCCTTTAAGATCGTGGCAGGTGCTGTGCACTCAGTCTTTGCCAAAACAGGCCTCCAAATTTGCCGATCCTTTCAAGCATTGATTCTGCACAACTAATCGTGCTTCTGTGACGCATGTGTCGTGTGCTGGGCCTGCTTTTAAGCAGGCTTGACGGCTTTGTGCGTGTGCTTCTTTTTTTGGACAAGGAGTTCCTCTTGTGACTCCTGGTTGAAGCCGGATAGGAGCTGTACTTCTTTGAGGGCTTCAAGGTCCACATCGCCTTGGCTCGTGCGGGATCCGCAGGTGCAAGCGAGCAGGAGCTGGGCGATTTCTACGTGAAACAAAAGCCGACGGCCGCGCCACAGGAGCGCCACGGAAGCAGCAGACCCGTGTCAGCCCTCCAAAGAACAATCCGCAAGAATAACTCTGGCCTGCTCCTGAATGCACATGCAGTCTCCTGGCCTCTCGAGTTTCTAGCAGGTGGCCCAGCCCGTCTCAGCACCTGTAAATTGTTCTGCACGTCGACATACCAAACACAGAGTGTGACTCGAAGTCGTTATTACATGAAGTGGCAGTGGTTGCTCCTGCAATCGGCGTTGCGCGAAGACAGCGAGTAGCTGCTGCTTGCTGTCCTGGCTTGTGTCTCTCATGTATGCTGCTGGACCAATTCTTGTTCACCGTTCGTAATAGGCCTCTGCTCAGGATCTTCTGATTCCGTTTGGGGAGTGGGCATGTTCAAACGAGTTTTAACACAAGGCATTATGTATTGAGGTGGACTGAAGTTCACCGAAGCCTGGCCTGTCGTGCATGACCACGATAGCCTCTCCCCCATGAGAGCAAACAGCCTGCAAGCAGTCGGTTTGTCAACCTTCATCAAGGAACAGCGGCAAGCGTTATGCAACAGCAGTGCTGGATTCAAGGCGCCAGTTCGTATCCGCGATAGACGAGAGCCAGTGCCTGAGCACTGCAAGCCACTGGGCGGAAGGTCTGCTGTGTTTACCTGACTCGAAGCTTGCAGCAAAGGACCACTTGTAGGGGGCTCCTAGCCAAGCTACTGGTGGGTGCAGAACCACGAGGGTGGCTAGAGTTGGATCTGTTTGACTTCAATCCTTCTCGATCTTGCTGTTATGCCGTATTCTCACACATGTACTGGTACATGCCATTAACTTAAATATTATGCAAATTATGTATATATATATATATATATATTGAATCTATTGATGTGAGCCGAGCTCCGCTAGACCCAAGTCGAGACATGTGACACGCAATGCAGTGTCTGCGGACGGTGCCAAGTGGGAGCCAAAAATTGGATCTATTGACTGATTGATTGATTGGTTGATTGATTGTGTATTGTAGCGTACCAGTAGTATAGTGTCGTGCGGTATAGTACTACTACCACTAGTACATGTGTGTATGCGTCGGTGGGTACCTAAGCCTGAGCAAGGGTGGAGTCGGGGTTTTGCCAAAAGACGAGACTGCAGCATGCCATTCGGACCAAGAAGTCATGACCGCCGGGATGCCGGTTCGCCATGCTCGGGAAACCACGCATCGCAACCAGTTGCCATCTGTGTTTTTCCATGATGTACGCCGCATTTTGGAAACACTCCGGCACAACATTTGTACTGCAGCTGTATTTGAACACACCGGTTTGGAGGGTTCGGAGCTCCAGGAGCCGTGGGAAAGCAGCCCGCGTATAACATTTGTAATCGAAATGTTCAACGAGTTTGGAAGGCCCGGAGCTACTTCCCAGGAGCCTTGGGGTATCAGCAACAAGCATCGCTAGGCATTCTGAGAATGTCTCCGAGAGTTCATCCCAGAAGTCCTGCAGAGCATACCCAGTGCCCACGTGTTTCCCGTATAACACTACATACGGCGGCATTCTGTTCTCTTGTCCTCGCCCTGCGGTTCTCATCTCTGCAATCAGAGTATGCAAGCAGTGCATCCTACGCACTTACCCAGCAGATTATCCCACAGATGGATCGGATGATCTATGTAAGTCATTGCAGGCTTTTTTTGTAGGCAACTACTGAGGCGGTTCCCTGGATTTGGAGGATTGTGCCGACTCGGCAGAACAGCTGCTGGACGGGAATATGGTGGCCAGTGCATTCTACGAGAAGTACAAGGCCGAAAACGAAGCAGAGGCGGAATTCGGGGTCTACAAAGTGTTGGATGGTTCTGAGCTCGGGCTGGCATCACGGAGACTTATTTGAGTTACGGATTGGCCAGCCGTGAACTGTTGGGGCGCTGCAAATGCCATTGAGAGGGTTGGGGGATGTTCCGCGCAGATCGTCACACGCACACCAGGTGGATCCTACTCCGGTGTCCAATGCGAAGACCCTCTTCGATGTAAATGGGGATTTGGACTGCGAGGCTGATGCCGTCAGCAGGGTGCTGCAGAAAATCAAGTTTTCCAGGACGGGTCAACTCGAGCGGCGGCCAAGGAAGTTTGGAGAGAGTCTGTTGCGTCACTAGCCGCAGGACGCAGATCAGCGGCACCTGTGTGGTGGCCACCACGGCGACGCGGAAGCCTTTGGCAAGCGTGAGCTTAAGCTTCCAGCTCGTGCTCCTCGCCTTGAACCGGTAAAGCTTGATAAGATTCAGAAAAGAACAATGACCGGTGGCTGAATCCCTGCAAGACCCCCACACACACACACACACAGACAAATGATGGTTGAACCACGTAAGATGCCAATGGCAGTGGTATCGACGATGCACATAAAATGTGCCGAGCGTATGCAGCAGACAATGCACAGAGAAGGATGGTACGCAATGTCGCATTCATGGAAGCAAATTGCGCCTCCGTCGGGCTGACAGGCCAGATATCGTTATCACAGACGAGACTCTTCAACAAAACCCTGTGCACCCTGTACAAAGAAGTTGCATTAACAACTAGACATTGTAACAAGCCTAGATAAAGAACAATGGTGCAAACAGGGAGCTACGGAATACTGAAGCATCTCAGCCTCGCTTCTCCTTCATCCGAAAGCTTTAGAGTCAGATATTGAAGTTAGTCTTGCAACCTAATCCAAATGACCCCAAGAGACGAGAAACAAAAGCACGACCAGACACATTCTCGGTGCGGACCTGGGTCCATGCTATGGCTCAGTGGCTGGAGACTAGGTTTTCACAGTAGGGATAGCTCAAACATGCTCCACAGTGTTTCCCGGAACCGTGTCTTGCGCGGAAGCGATTGTATCTGCTTCGCTGCAATGCGAGATCGAGAGGGATGGCTAGGCGGATGGTAAAATTCCTTTTGCCGGCAAAGCTCAATTGAGGAACAGCCGCTGGCAGAAGTGCATCGCCGCGGTGCCATGCCAGCCAGATACGCAAGGCTCTGCCGGGTGCATCGGCCAACTGCAGGAGCGGGTTCTTTCACCAGAAACCCCAGCATGACAGCAAACGGCATTCTCTGAGTCCAAGATAGACGAAGGACATAGTTAGGCTAAGACCTAGCAACCGAATTATTGAATCCCCATTTCCCTTCGCCATTTTTTTGCAGCAGTATAGTTGCCAAAGTGCTGTTGAGAATGAGGAGTGCGAAGCGCGAGAGGACCAGGCCTTCAAGATCGACACACAGGCAGACGGCATAGACTTCCTCCAAAACCGTGGGGAGACAATGTACATCACCGCCGAGCCGAATGCAGTACCATTCAGGTGGCAGGTGCCAGACCGGGGGACGTACTTGGGATGGCTGGGTTTCATGGCAGCCGTTGGTTCTCAGGGTTTTATTCCTGTGGTGGTTGTGGCCACAGTTTCCTCCGCAGACGGAAATGGCCTCACTTATGATGGGCAGATTGGCGACTCCTTGCCATGGGACCAGGGGTTGCCTCAAACCTTGGAGGCGACCTGGTACAAAGGCAGCGCCGTGCAGGGCAACGACATCAACTGCGTGTGTGAGCCGGGGACGGTGATGCAACGCTTCGACAAGAGCCGGGATTTCGTCAAGTTCCTGTGCGTGGAGGTGCCCAACCTGGGTGCCTGCACCGAGGAGACCTCGGTGCAACAGACAATCGACGGGAGCACCTCGCAAATCGACGTCGACTGTGGCAAGGACCGCGGTCTTCAAGCCATTCAGGCTGAGATTGACTCCAAGAGCAGATGGACAAACTTCCGTTTCCGATGCTGCCAGATCACCGCCAACCCCGTGCGCATGACCAAGTTCGGGTCAGGCCGCGTGCCTCCCGACCCAGCAGAGCAAGGGATATACGATGCGGTTGCCCGCGATGATTTTGGCCGACCCCTATACGACGGGAAAGACTGGAGCGGGAGGGCTGTAGGCACCCTGTATCATAATGCGGACACCGGGCAGTGGTGTGTATCCGCGGAATGTGTTTCCAGCGATCTGGTAAATCCACTGGACCAGCAGCTGGGCGGGGAGAACTGGCAGGCACCAGCAGTGCCAAAGCGGATGAAACAGCGTCGTACTGGTAGCTGGCTGTTTGCAGTCTCATTCTTGCGACCCTATACCCGCTTATTGTAGCATGACATGAGTTTATGGCGGCGTCCCAAGGGAGAACACATCACTTTTGAGATGGTTGTGGGGGCGAGGCAAAACAATACAGATGTTTGGGGAGGGGGTGGCATTGCGATCTTCGGGATCCATAAACTTGGATCCGGAGAGTGCTTGGGCGGGCAGTCTTGAATAATCGACGCTTGTAGGCTCGTATCTTTCTACAGCGAAATGTGTTCTTACAAGTCGTTTCACAGCTACTCTGGCCACCTGCACAACGACAACTTGGCGGGATCCCATGCATTGCACCGGTGGCCAAGCGGAAGATATGTGGCTTGTTCGAGGAAGGACACCTCCTTTTCCCTGCCTGGGACGCTGTCGATGTTCCAAGCGCTTTTGCCTGACACTCACAATTCACTTTTTTTCCCAGGACAGCACCGGTGCGATGAAAAAAACTAGCCAGAGAGCCCAGCCCATTGTTGCTTCTAGCCCGGTACTGAACACAATGGGTACTCCGACCTCCGACTACGACGTCCGTAAGCTATTCGGACAAGCAGATTTGCAAAGACCACTGCGCAGGTCGTCCCTGTGAGTGACTTCGATGCCAAGTTCGAAGCCGTCGGAGCCAAGCTGCCGAAGCGTTTCCAGTCGAAGCGAAAGGTGCCACCTCAGCTGACCTTCGCTGCCGAGGACTGCAAGAAACTTTGTGTTTCAAAGTTCGGAGAGATCTTGGAGCGCAGACCTTCAACCCAATTTTGTGTCACCGCAGCACTTTTTGCGATTAATTATGGTTGCAGAAACGGCACAGCTTTGCTGTTGCTGTGAGTGCTCCAGCAGTCTTAAAACAATCTCAGAGGTGGCCGTTGACCGGTATGACCCTGGAATACCGAAGCGCACTCGGGGGTGGAGGGGCGCCACCAACTGCTGCGCCCGCTAGGACTACCCAAGCGCACTCGCTCGGGGGTGGAGAGGGGCCACCAAATGCTGCGCCTGCTATGAATACCCAAGCGCTCGGGGGTGGAAGGGCCCCACGAAATGCTGCGCCTGCCAGGAGCTCGGGAGTGGAGGGGGGGCCACCAAATGCTGCGCCTGCTAGGAATACCGAAGCGTGGAGGGGGGCCACGCGCCTGCTAGGAATAGCGAAGCACGCTCAGTGGAGGAAGGCCACCTAGGAACACCGAAGCCCACTCGGGTGGAGGAGGGCTACCAAATGCTGCGCCTGCCAAGGAATAACGAAGCGCGCTCGGGGGTGTTTAGTGGCGTTTAGGTTGTGCGTTGTGTGTGTTGTGTGTCGTGTGTGTTGTGTGCGTTGTCTGTGTTCTCTGTGTTGTGTGTGTTGTGTGTGTGTGTGTGTTGTGTCTGTCGTGTGCGTTGTCTGCGTTGTGTGTGTTCTGTGTGTGTTGCATGTGCTGCGTTTGTTGCCTGTGTGTTGTGTGTGTGTTGGGTGTGATGTGGTGTGTGTGTGTGTGTGTGCTGTGTGTGTGTGTGTGTGGTGGGTGTGTGTGTGTGTGTGTGGGCAACCCAAAATACCACGGGAATTCCAGCAGTGCAGGGGGGCAAGGGCTCCAGTGACAAGCCCTGCCCAACGAAGCCAAGTCACTGGAGTGGAT